ACTCCACTGAAGTTTCAATTTACTCCGCTCTTGAGTTTCGATTTACTTCTTCATTGTTACTTTAGCTTCCCTATCTTCCGCTGGGACCGTGCGCATTGATTACAAAGTCGTTTCTGGGTCAGATTTTCCATGCCTTTCATAACAACAGGCAGTTCTTTCCATGCCTATACCGCCATTTCAAAGCGAAAAGGTGGTTTTTGTTGTCATACTTTTTCAGCAGCAACATAACTACTGTTAAATGCTTGCCACAACCTTCAACTTCAGTCAAAAAGAGGTAAGGAAAACAACGGCTTCCTTTTCAACTGCAATTTAACTGCCTTCTGCTCTGTTTGTTGCTGGCAGCATCAGCACAATACCTGTCTGTTTTTCAAACACGTTATACATAATAAACAACTGACAGAGTTCAAATGGAGAGCAAGAGAAGAGTTTTCTATTTTTAAAAACTGGTAGCGCAGCAGGCAGATTAAGGGGAAGAAACCATAGCTGTGGAACACACTTTTAAAACCAGTTTAGAAGTGGCATAGATGTGAGTGCCAGTCCAGCTCACCCCTTTACCAATTCGGTCATTAATCATTAAAAATGTATATTAGAACTTAAAATGTCAGAGCAGTGGGGATTTTTTGTATTATTTATATTTCAAGCTTTTTAATGTATCACTTCTCCATCAGCATCATCAAAATGGAGAGTTATCAACTACCAAATACAACCGTTTATAAAACTTACTGCAGTTTGACTGATCTGATTAGTTAATTTTAATGTCTCATTCAATTCATTTACTATGCATAATACATTCATATTATTCTATACTTGCCTTTGGCTGATGCTATCAAATACAAAAATTGTGCCCTAGTTAAAACATTTATGTGGTATCGAATGTTAGGTAAAGGTCAAGGTCCTCTAGATGGTTAAGTCCAGTCAAAGGTGACTATGGGATGCAGCACTCATCTTGCTTCAGGCTGAGGGAGCAGGTGTTTGTCCGCAGACAGCTTTCTGGGTCATGTGGCCAGCATGAATAAACAGCTTCTGGCGCAACGGGACACTGTGACAGAAGTCAGAGCGCATGGAAATGCCATTTACCTTCCTGCTGCAGCGGTACCTATTTATCTACTTGCACTGGTGTGCTTTCAAACTGCTAGGTTGGCAGAAGCTGGGACAGAGAAACAGGAGCTCACTCCGTCGTGGGCATTCGAACCGCCAACCTTCTGATTGGCAAGCCCAAGAGGTTCAGTGGTTTAGACCACAGCGCCACCCGCAACCCTATGTCAAATGTTACTCTTACTTGAAGTAGGTTTATTGCTTTCAATGGCTCCACTTAAGGCATTACTAAGATTTTATATCAACCAATATCTATAAAATCAGAACTGCCGTGCCGAGAAGGACTGCTGCAAATTTCAGATTTCTAACACAGCAGGTGTTTCAGAAGTGATGCAAAAATTATTGCTGTTGTTGTACTATAGATTAACAGGATCTGCTTGGGTAGCTAACAACACAAAAACCTTTAGAAAGGAAATTCTGAAAAGGTACGTCTAATTCAGGACCCAGCTCTTCAAGTGTAGCACAGGAAAGGCACAAAACAGTGGCATGAGGCAGACACCTTTGCACAGAATTAAGCCTTTGCTTTTAAACCAGAAATGAAGCACTGAAAGGGACATCACAATAGGCAACTCAGAGGTATCCCACATCAAGGCTAAAGAATGGCTCTGCTCTGTGCCAGAAGCAGTTTTTCCGCTGAGTCAGAGGCTTATGCATAATTCACAGGAATCTTTCAACAAGGGGCACAGTGTCCTGAAGTGGAAAGTCACACACAACTGGAATGTGGCAAACAATTCTGTGCAACAACAATGAGAGGTAGGAGACCCAACAGGACGGGCAGGGGGAAAGATTCTGCCCAGACACGGTTCCCTGGCTGCCCCCGCAAAGCAACAATTTCTGTTGCTAGGCTCCAGGTCCTGCTGAACAAGAACACCCGAAAGTTTCCTTATCACCTCAACACAGATTCTTGGGATTTTCTGGTGGCTGTTCCTTTCTGTCCCCAAGTTTCCTTAGCATCAACTCCTGACGCTTCCTGTCTAACTCAGAATCAAAAAGGGGGATACGGGTATGATGTAGAATAAGAGGGCACTGGAGTATGATAAGAACCAAGAATAAGCTCTTCCTCCTCTTCCTCTTAGTTCAGCAGAGCTTCATCAAGAGATGTTCTGCGTGGACTGTGAACTTCCTTCAAGACTCAGCCATACCAGTTTCATTCTGGCCCGTGGCAGGAAAGATGGTTGCAAACTTACATGGTACCCTCAACTTATTTGGTACTTACAAAGCTAAAAACAGAAGGCAGGTTCCTGCTCCAAAGGGCCTGCGAAAGCTGCATCGAAGGAAGCGAGATTCTAAAAAGGAGGGATGGGTGAGCAAGAGTAACAGGGAAGTCTAGCGCTTTGTGCAAAAGCTGTTTCAGTTGGGTAATGACCAAGGAAAAGGCGTCACAGAAAAGGTTTCAAGCCATCCAGATGTTGGGACCTGTGGTCTTCACTATGCAATTGGACTCCAGTGCCCATTAACCCCAGCCAACAATGGCCCGAGACTATGGGAACTGGAGTGCAATATCTGGAACGCCACATGCTCTCTATCCCTGGTTTAAAGCAGGGGTGGGAAACCTCAGGCCTGGGGGTCAAATGCAGCCCTCCAGGCCTCTCTACATGGCCCTCGGAAACCTCCAAACTTCTATATTCAGGCCCTGGCCCTAAGTCCTACCCCAAGTGTTTCTGCCTGGCTGGAATATGCTCTTGAACTCGTAACAATACCTCTTGCTTGTCTGAAAGGAGACCAGAGGAAAGGGGAGTGTAGAAACCAGTCTCCTGTACAAAGATTGCATTTGAATTCAGTTCCTGCCCCCCACTTTTGCCTCTGATGCTGCCCACCAGTGGCCCATGTCCCTCAGAAGGTTCCCCAGAGAAGAGATTGAGGTCCCTCCATCTGAAAGAGATTCTCCATCCCCTAGGTTTGAAAGGAGAGAGCCATACAGAGGATAGACAAGGGAGCTCTGGGCCTAATGGGTAGCAATAGGAAGGGTGTTTTTAGAGAGCAGGAGATCTTCAGGCTGTTCCAAGTGGTAAAACTGAAGGAGGGTGTGTGCTGTTGGGGAAGCAACTGAGGAAGGGCGCTTCATACAGTGTGGGCAACAAGAGAGGTGAATGATTCTGGTGGCAGCATTCTGGATGAGGTGCAGACAATAGTCAGGTGAAAGTTCCACACACTTTCATCTGACTACTGTACATCCAAGGAACCCCAGCTAGGGTTGCTTCTGTTTCCCCCTTTTTGTGATGGCTCTGTACTCCAATCTGTTGCTGCTATTGTTGATACTATTATTTCTTCTATCTAGTTCATTTGTAATTGGAAATCAATAAAACACAATTTTTAAAAATTCTGCATGTTTATCCGAACCCTGGGTAAACTATGATAATTTTATACAGGTGATTTTTCCCCGTGGTACCAAGTAGGTTGTGCTGGCTAGCCCAACCTTAGACGCCACCCATGATCCATCAACCCTTCAGTGTGCAAATGTCCAAACACTTGGGCAAAGGGCTCAAGCAGCATTGAAGCCAACAGTCCTTTCTCGTTGTTTCCCACTCAGCAACTTTTATTGAGAAGGTAGACCAGGACCCCCTCCTGGATTCGGGTGGCCTCTATGTCTGGCTGTTGCATCCAATAAGTAGAATTCTTTGGAGAAGTATAGCTAACTGGCAGATGAAGACTTATCCTCCATGAATTTGTCAACACCACTTTGAAAGCCATCAATCACCACACCTTATGGAAGCAAATTCTTTAAGCTAATTATCTGCATTCTAATAGACAGGGAGAAGAAGAAAAACTCTGTTCACACTCAACACACCTCCACCATACTCTTTCAGTCATCTTTTCTCCAAGCTTAAAAGGAAAAGAAAAGGCTTAAGCCTTTCTTCATACAGTGCTCCAGCTTTGATCGTTTAGGTTGCCTTTTTCTTCTTTTCCAGTTCTGAGATACCCGTTTTGAAACAGGGTAACTGTGCAGAGTATTTCAAATACAGCCACAACATAGGTTTATAATATAAACCCTCACTTCTCCCAAAAAATAAATTAAAAAATTGTCCAGTGGCACCTTAGAGACCAACTAAGTTTGTTCTGGGTATAAGCTTTCGTGTGCATGCACACTTCTTCAGATACACTGATACAGAAGTCACCAGACCCTCATATATAGTGGGAGGGTGGGGTGGGTTTTTCCTCAGAAGGGTAGTAGGAGATGGATGATTGACTCAATGGGTATGGTAAACCTGTTGACGACTGTTAATGGAAAAAGCAAGGGATAGTATGCAGATGACCAAAAATAGCTACTGGACAATTTTTAAATCTTATTTATTTATTTTGACTGCGTCAGACCAACACGGCTACCTACCTGAATCTTCTCCCAAAAACTTTATATAAAACTTTCCCCTAAAAATTCCTATCTTTTCAACATCATCGCACACCAATAATCCCAGGAAGTGAATTGGTTAAACGAGGCTCAACTCTCTAGACTGTGTCTAGAGAAGGGTTGCCCAAACTTGGGTCTCCAGCTGTTTTGGGGCTACAATTCCTATCATCCCTAGCTAACAGGACAAGTTAAGAGACCCAAGTTTGGGAATCTAGAGTATCCAGATTAGAAGTGCCATCAGCAAGCATCACCCAAAGGCATCTTCTGGCTTACACAAATTCTACACAGAAGACCCAACAGAGGCAACCGTTTTGAAGCAAGCAGCAGCACCTCCTTCTATGTGCAGCATAAAATCTCAACCTCAAGCAATTATGTTGGGAAGAAGGGCTGGGCAGCAGGCAGAGAGGGAGGAAATCTAGACGGGCGCTTTCTGAGCAGACGCCACCAGAGAGATGTACAGCCAGATCGTGAGACACACATTTTCGAGAGGGGCACAAGCCATGGCATGCTGAAGAAACACATTGATTAGTGAAATGCAAAGGAAGTGAAAGCAGGTTACCTGAAGGCTTACTCAGCTTTGATGAAAACATAGGGGCAGGTTTCTCCTTTTCCTTGACAGAAGCAGCTCCTCTCTCAGCTCCCTTTCCTACACTGTCTAACTTTTTCTCTGCCGGCGAAGGGGTAACATCAGCTGGGGGCGAGATCTCCTTCGTTGCTTCAGGCACTTCTCTGTCCAGTTTCACGGAGGGTTTTCCTCTCTCTTCATTTTTGACTTGCACATTCTTCAAAGAAAGGTCGTGGGCCACCTCTTGGTAAGGAGACTGCCTTGCCTCTGATTCAAATGCATCACAGGGCTCTCTGCTTTCCATCTCCTTCGACACATCTTTTTCCATCACCGACTTAGCAGCCTGATAAGGAGCTGTGGGGAAGTCATCCGTCTCTGGAGAGGATTCTGCAGACAACACAATTTTGTCTCCCACTTTGAGCTCCTTGGGAACAGGAAAATAACCTGCGCCAATACATAGTTCTTCCATGTCTAGTTCCTTCCATGTCTTCTCCTCCTTTGCTACTTCTGGAGCCCAAACAGTGGGTGCATTTTTGGGGGGTTCAGTCTGAGGCTGGAAGGATTCTAGGTAAGGCTTGCTAAGGGAAGGTGGCAACTCCTTCTGCTTCTCCTCCCAGCCTTCCTTGGATACAATCTTAGCAGCAGATGCGGTGCTTTTCTCTTTCACAGCTTCCCTCTCTTTCTGAGCAAGGACTGGTTCTTGATAACTACCAAATAAGTCACTTTTCCCAGGTGCTTTCTCGTCAGGCTCGGCATATTCAGGCACAGGTTGGGAAACACATTCTGAAATCACCTCCTTGGATTTCTCTGCAACGGCCGGCAAACCAGATTCATTGGAAACCTTAGTTTCTTTAACTAAGTCGCATGCAATGGATATATAAGAATTCTCCAAGTCTTCCGCAGTTGTACCATTCTTATGTCCGGGTTCTTTATCGGCAGCATCAACCTTGGTTTCCTGTGCTTGACTTGCGGGTACATTCATTGCCTCCTGATACGAGGGAGGCTCCTCAGACTTCTGCATTACATTCTCGTAGTCATTCTCGTAATCGCCAGCAAAAGCTTCCGAAGGAGAGGCTTCAGTTTGCACGGCAGGAGCAACCACCCCAACAGCGCTTGCGTTCAACGGTGCTTCCATGACAATATCTGGCAAGACAGGGGAAGGAGCTGTTTCAGACGCTCCTTCAAAGGAGGGGCAGAGCTGCACGGCCACATTCAAGGGCTCTTGCGACGACTTGGACACCTGAACCAAATCGATCTTCGTTTCGTAAGCAAGTTTGGGGCTAACTGCATCATGAAGTTCACTCTCATATGCTTCTTGCACTAAGTCAGGAGTAAGACCTTCGGGCATATTGGCCAGAGCATCAGTAGACGCCAGCAGATTCTCGGCTTTATCAGATTCAGCATTCTTGCCCTGGCCACTTGCCAACTCATTGTGGGCAACGCTTGGTTCCGTTCCAAAATGGGCCTTCATCTCTGCTATCTTTTTCTCATCTGTTTTATTTTCAGAAGCCTGCTCCTCCACCAGAGACTTGGCTGTGCTGCCCTCGACTGTCACAGCTGATTCAAACTTGGCACAAGTAATGTAAGCTTCTGAAAATTCTTTTGCGGCTTCTGGAGTGCTGGGGAAAGAAATATCTTCATTGCTGCTTTCATGCTTCTTCTCGCTCTCTTTTCCAAAGTCTTTTTCTACCGGCAGAGTCTGAGCCTCCTCCGTGTCATATTTACCTACACCATCCATCTGACTCCTAGCCATTTCTTTCAAACTGCTGCTTTCATTGCTAGCCCATGATGGTTCAAAAGGCTTGAAATCCACATAGTCGTCCCTTGCGGAAAGGTCTACGAAAGCCATATTTTCGTCGGCATCGTGCTTTCGGTCTTCAAGAGATGCATCGTTATCGTGCTTCACAAACAGCTCGACAGGAGATTCTGGAGAAGAGTCCTGCTGGTGTGCAGATAGTTTTTCTATATTAAACACTTCATTGGTGCCTGATGGTTCCTTGGTCTGAGATGAAAAGAATAGCCCTGTCCCAGTGTCAGAGGGCACTGCTTCTGAAGGTTTCGCTTCTGAACCACCAGCATCTTCAAGGAACAGGTTACGTGCGTTTTTGGTAGCAGCGGTAAATGCCTGGCTTTCAACCTGACCGTAACTGCCCTTTGCAGATAGCCCGCCTGATACTGCGTTGGGGGCTGTGTAGTCTTTAAAAGGATTGGCTGAGAGAGGAGAGAGAGAGGGAAGAGAAGCGGTAGCGTCAAGGGGGGCTGCAGCGAAATCTTCTCGCCATGCACGACCCAGCTGCTCCTGCAAGTCCATACCTTTGTCTGTGGCCATGGACAGAAAGGAAAGTTAGCGAAGAGTGCAAGTGGTCTGAAAGTTAAGGCAAGTTTTAACGACAAGATCCACCCCCCTAAAAACCACACAGTAGCTAGCTCTCAACGCTTGCAGCTAGAAAGGTTAGTAGGGAAAGCATGCAATATTAAAGCTAAGAGAGGGTAAATGTAAATGAAGCAGCAAATGTTGTGCAATCCAATAAGGTTAGGGGAGAGCTTAGAGCAATGCAAAGTACACAGGTTTTGCATAACGAGCCTGAGAAATAGGTCTCATTGTCCTACGCCCTCTTTTTTTTGGAAAAAAGCAAGTGAATAATAATAACCCCGTGAAGAAATAATATTGATGTTCTCTTAAGCATAGCCAAGAGAGTAGGAGAAGGCGATAAGTAATGCATTTCCTCTCCCTCCCAAGTCTTCAACTAGGGTTTCCATATTTTGAAGAGAGAGAAAAGAGGACGCTATGACGGCCATTAAAAGCAAATGAATGCAGTTTGTCTCAAATCTTACCCCTGAAACAGAGGGTGTGTCCTAGGAAGAGAGGACTCACCGCAACCCTACTTAACACCAACTATGCTTAAGACGAAGTAGGTTCCCTCCAAACCAGCATTTGCAAACCAACTTCAAGCCCGGGTAACAAGGGGAATCCTGCTTAGCATTAACCATAGTTAAGAGCCAGTGTGGATGTTAACAGTAAACTGGGGAATAAATACAAGGAGGAAGAGGAAAACTCAAAGAATCTGAAGCCCAGTCTCTTAACTACATACCGTATTTTTCGCTCCATAAGACGCACCTAGTTTTTGGAGGAGGAAAACAAAGGGGGGAAATATTCTGAATCTCAGAAACCAGAACAACAAGAGGGATCGCTGAGCAGCGAAAGCAGCGATCCCTCTTGCTGTTCTGGCTTCTGGGATAGCTGCGAAGCCTGCATTTGCTCCATAAGATGCGCACACATTTCCCCTTACTTTTTAGGAGGGAAAAGGTGAGTCTTATAGAGCAAAAAATACGGTAATTAAGAGATTGGCAGTGTTACCTTCATCATACACCCAACAGGTGAAAAGACGAAGCAATTTCAATTATGGTAAACTGCATTAATGCTAACAGTTCATTAATTGTAACCAATTAGAGCCAACTCTATATCAGCAAAAGCAACTACACCTTTAATAGTTATTCTGTTAATAGTAGCTACAAGGTGTTCCTAGGGGAAAGTTCCAAGAATTCATGGACAGCTGCAGTTTAACTGCAAAACAGAAACTGCCCAAGTTTGAATTTCGAGCCACTTCGAAACAAACAAAACATGTTTTGCAAATTTAGGAGACTTTAGTATTCTTGGATCCTCGACAACTTTTTTTTTTTAGTAAATACATCTAGAAACTATTAGTGGGAAAGGAAAACGCAAAGGACACGGAGGGGTGGGGACATACTCTAATGCAAAAGGCTAGCTGAAATAACTTGCCTGCAGAAGAGTGCATCAGAGGGTCAGATGCAACAGGAAGAGCAAAAAGAGTCTCATCTGAAAAACAAATACAGTATGACCTCAGCAGAAATAAATGCGGAAAATGAGCTCAAAGAAGGGAAAGAGGGAGAAGAGAGTATTCAGCATTCATATTTTTTGCAGATATTTTTACACCCATATTTAAAAAGAACGGAACGAGAGAATTGGCATGCAGGATTACTCTGTTTGTCACAAAGTGGAAAAGCTTCTGCTAAGGAACACTCCTCCCCATTCCACCCCCCACCCCACCCCCAGGTCACTTGCCCCAATCTTAGCTGCAAGCCTAAATAGGAACGCCCAGGAATATTGACTCAAGATCCACCAGCCAAAAAATTCCAGGGCGTTTCATCCGCTACACTTATTTGCTAATGTGGGTCATTAACAGGTCACTTTAAACTCCACCCAGAATTCCACACCAGCAGATGTGATTCACACGGTTACTCTCCTAAGATGAGGATCAAGAGTCCCTAATTTTAGCACGCTTCCCCCTCCACACATTCGCCCCCTAAACATATGAATGTTAAGTACGTTAAGGAATTGAATCTCTCGGGGGTGGGGACAGCTATTGCTAATTGACTGCAGAAATAAGGAAAAGATGTTTTAATATAATATTTGGGACTGTTTAAAATGCAAAGCAGGTTGTATAAAATCATGAAATAGCACAGGCAGAATCAGTGCACTGACTTAACAGTCTCAAGAGTGCATGTACCGTATTTTTCGCCCTATAGGACGCACTTTTCCCCCTCCAAAAATGAAGGGGAAATGTGTGTGCGTCCTATGGGGCGAATGCAGGCTTTCCCTGAAGCCTGGAGAGCGAGAGGGGTCGGTGCGCACCAACCCCTCTGCTCTCCAGGCTTCGTGGACCTCTCTGCAAGCAGCGGGAGCGCTCCCGCTGCTTGCGGAGAGTTGCTTGCATGCTGAAGCCTGCGCGCGCCGACCTCAGCGCGTCCAGACTTCGCGGACCTCTCCGCAAGCAGCGGGAGCGCTCCCACTGCTTGTGGAGAGTTGCCTGCATGCTGAAGCCTGCACGCGCTTGAGCTCAGCGCATCCAGGCTTCGTGAACCTCTCAGCAAGCAGCGGGAGCCAGCACTGGGCTCCCACGGCTTGCAGAGAGCTGCCTGTTTGGGGGCTGGGGTCGGGGGAAGCTCGGGCTTCCCCCACCCCAGCCCCGTGCCTGGGGGGGAAATAATTTTTTCCCCTTTATTTCCCCCCCAAAAAACTAGGTGCGCCTTATGGGATGGTGCGTCCTATAGGGCGAAAAATACGGTATGTCCACTTACTCCCGTACTAAGGTTGAGCTAACATATTTCCACTGAAGCAAACAGCAAAAGAGCTTTGATTTAACCATTAGCCCTCGCCAAAGTCTTATACGCCCTCCAGTTCACATCTTGCAATCAACTATTTCAAGAGCGTAGTATCGACAGGATAATTACTAGCTATCCTTCCTGACTGATCCAAGAAGCAAAAAAAGCGTTATGCAAAGGGTGCCAGTTGTGCCCCGCAGAAGAGCTCTGCCAGAGCCTCAATTAATGAGGCAACATGTGAACTTGCTGGGAAAGCGATTAAAGGACTATGAGCAAGCCAGTGCACATCTAAGATGATGCAAAAGCTGAGCAATGCACACCATAGCAGCTGACCATCAAGATTAGGGAATGGCTGGCTTGAATTATGCACTATACGGTGTTGTGTTTGTCATGAGGCCAGAGGAACATCACCTGGCTGTGAGGCGTGAAGGCCGCTCCCTACAAAGCCCTTTCCACCTGGCCTAGGGGGCAAGGCCCAGACTCACCAGCCCCACTGAAGAGGCTCCTCATGAGGCTGGAGGAACATTGCCCAGCTATTGTTTTATTGATTTACCGTATTTTTCGCTCTATAAGACACACCAGACCACAAGACGCACCTAGTTTTTGGAGGAGGAAAACAAGAAGAAAAAAATATTCTGAATCTCAGAAGCCAGAACAGTAAGAGGGATCGCTGCGCAGTGAAAACGGCAATCCCTCTTGCTGTTCTGGCTTCTGGGATAGCTGTGCAGCCTGCATTCGTTCCATAAGACGCACACACACTTCCCCTTACTTTTTAAGGAGGGAAAAGGTGGGTCTTCTAGAGCAAAAAATATGGTATTTATTTAATATGCTGTAAACATCTTTGAGATTTTTATTTAAAAATATAAAGGGGTATAAAGGTAAAGGGACCCCTGACCATTAGGTCCAGTCGTGGCCGACTCTGGGGTTGCGGTGCTCATCTCAGTTTATTGGCTGAGGGAGCTGGCGTACATGTGGGAGGGGGCTGGTCATGTGGCCAGCATGACTAAGCCGCTTCTGGCAAACCAGAGCAGTGCACAGAAATGCCCTTTACCCTCCTGCCGGAGCAGTACCTATTTATCTACTTGCACTTTGACGTGCTTTTGAACTGCTAGGTTGGCAGGAGCAGGGACCGAGCAATGGGAGCTCACCCCGTCGCGGGGATTTGAACCGCCGACCTTCTGATCGGCAAGTCCTAGGCTCTGTGGTTTAACCCACAGCGCCACCCGCGTCCCTATAAAGTGGTATAGAAATTTATAAATAAATAAATAAATAAATAAAGCCTGCTGGATGTTGTTTGCACCTCCCAAACCTCGCAGGTGCATGTCCAAAGGGACTGTTTTCAGCTACCAGCTGCAGAAAGCATCACCGTGGCTGTTTTTTTAGTGCATACCACCTACATGTTTTTGCTGAAAATGCCTTGGGTGGCGAAGGAAGCCAACATGAATATTATGCATTATACTGGGCTACCTTCTAGAAGGCTGATTAGAAACCACAGTTATTTCAGAATATGGGAGCCAGACTTCTGCCTAGAGTTATGCCACACTGAACAGAACTTGTTTTAAGAGATCTGCCCCAGCTTCCAGTATTTTTATGGGTCCAATTCAAGGTGCGGATTTTGTCCTTTAAAATAGTAGATAGCATGGCTGCCATACAGACAATCTCTACTGGCGAATAAGTACCATAATTCCAAGCAGGAAGAAAGACTTTTCAGTGGTGAATTCTTTCCTCTAGAACGCCATCCAATTATCACTATTCTGGCGACATTATTATTAATTATTATTATTATTATTATTATTATTATTATTATTATATTATATTATTATTGTTGTTGTTGTTGTTTATTGTTGTTGTTGTTGTTGTTGTTGTTGTTATTATTATTATTATTATTATCCACTGCATTTAGTGGGTCTTTCTCTGCTTCCTGCAGTTGCTTTCTCTCTCTTGCGTTTTAAAATAAAATAATTATATTTCTATTTAGTTTTACTATCAGTCCACTTTTTAAATTCTGTTATGACTTTGTCCTCGTTAGCGAACCTGGTTATATTTTTACCAGGACAGTGACCTAAAAACATCAAACATGCACTATGATTAAGATTTCCCAACTTTCTTAGGGTTGTGTGGAGTTACATCATACACATCCACACACCCACATACAAACCCTCTTGGCCCTGAAGCTGCTGAAGAACACAAAACAGGAGAGATGCTTTGCAACATACACTTAAATGGTGTCCTGCTGATTTGTACACATTCTACTTCCAAAGCATCAAGTATAAAATGGAGCCAATCTTTATTTGGTCTTTGATTTCTTGAAAGTATTAAGCCGCACAAAGAGATCAGATTACTGCACTGCTCAGGTTGCCAAGTAAAGCATCCGAGAATTAAGGAATGCTAGCTTGCCTCTGTACGATTACTCAACAAAGCAGAGATCCGGCGGAGGAGAACAAAGATGTGCATTGCAAAACCAAGGCGCTAATAATGCACGCATTTATTTGCACGAGATGCAGAAAATGGTGTGGGTGATGATCTCATCTTAGTTTTTACGTTGCCTGATTTCCCACACCAAGTAAATTTAAAGGGATAGATTATTATTACTTATTGAATTTATACCCTGGCCTCCCTCCTGAAGTAGCCCTGGGTTATCAAAATTGTGTAAAGGGAATTATTAAGAGGATGGCTGAAGAACTTCGTGGGAAGCTGCAGAGTGCAAAGTTTATTGCTACATGACATCTGAAAAACAGCTTTCTCCATATTGTAGGTTAAAGGTAAAGGTAAAGGTAAAGGGACCCCTGACCATTAGGTCCAGTCGTGGACGACTCTGGGGTTGTGGCAGTCATCTCACTATATTGGCCAAGGGAGCCGGGGTGCAGCTTTCGGGTCATGTGGCCAGCATGACTAAGCCGCTTCTGGTGAACCAGAGCAGCGCACGGAAACACCGTTTACCTTCCCGCAGGAATGGTACCTATTTATCTACTTGCACTTTGACGTGCTTTCGAACTGCTAGGTGGGCAGGAGCTGGGACTGAGCAATGGGAGCTCACCCCGTCACGGGGATTTGAACCGCCGACCTTCTGATCGGCAAGTCCTAGGCTCTGTGGTTTAACCCACAGCGCCACCTGCGTCCCTATATTGTAGGTTACTACTACAAAATTAATGCTGCAGACTATAAGTGCTGCTCATGCAGGCAGAGAGTGGTGCAGATTGATACAACATATTTTGCTTTCAGTTTATACTGCTACCCTATTATCTGTTAAAAGGGCTTGAGAAAGTGTGCACCATAATGTCCGTTTGGAACATTTTAATTATTTATGCATAGCTAGGCAAGCATCACTTTGGACAATGAGTTATGAGATGGATTTCCACATTAAAATTTGACCTTCGTGAAAATCTGCTGGCTGAAATGAGAACAATTAAATGGTATTGATGAGAACTGTCAGACATTTGAAATGTTTATTTATTTAAACATAGAATCATAGTATCACCCCCTGCAATGAAGGAATCTCAGCCTTTTTAATGGATCGTTTCTAAATGTGCATGTTATCAAAACCTTTCCAAGTTATTAAATTGCAAAGTAGCAACTAACTACTTATCGTCAGAAGACAACACTACCGTTAATATCTATTCTTCTTGCTAATTTAAAGTTGTAAATGCAAAACTGTCTTAAGAATTGTCCCTTAATGGCATGCAAATATGAAATGTGGGCATGCAGACTCTAATG